CATTTGAAGCCGGTCTTTTTGCTACAGGCAACTCAGTGATACTTCTACTTTCAAGAGATCTTATTACTGTAAACGCAGCATTTAAGTGTTTCCTCCCTGCCTTTATTGCTTCAATATTTGTACAGTCTCGCAAAGCCAATTCTACCTTCTTACAAGTGGAAATAGCTTTCTCTTTCATCACTGATACGTCATTAATACTGTCTTGATTGTGAATCTGATGTGTTAAGTATTGTAAGGATGAGATATCAGGAGTCTCTATACTACATGTATCTTCTGTCAATAATTCGGTACTAGGAGCTTCCAATTCATCATTTGGCTGTACATCCAACGATATTCTTTCTTCATTAATGGTACAAGTATCGTCCACCGTTATGATATTCTCGACGTTGTTAAAAGACATTTCCACAAGATGAATATGCTTACAAATTGTGGAATGAATGAGATAGTCCATACAAGTACAAGAATATGAATGGACACATACATCGCAAGTACTACATCGAATCCTACATGAACACGAACAAGCATCAGAAATTTTTTCCACAGTATAAAACTTTTCCTGAGAATCAGGTACTGTAGGCTTAATTCTCCAAGTAGCTCCAGTGTTTGAGATAATCACTTCCGATGCATTCATGTTTTGGGCTGTTCTATGTCTCTTATTAACCTCACTGATCCGATGAGACAATTTGCCTTTCTGGGTTTTCTGGAGGCGTTCGAATGTTTTGTCACGAGATATCTTTAGAAGGATATGTAATAGATGATCTACTCTACGGTTTTGCTTTTTTTCAAGGTAGCAAACTTTAAGTAAGCGATGAAAGGATTCGATTGCCATATTGGTATTGACTGTCGTGGCACCTCTGTAGCAAGGAGCCCATTGCTCAATCTTTGGTACATACTGTTTCCGAAAATAGTCGAGAAAAGCTAGTAAGTCATCATCATTCGAGAGCCATGAAATAAATTGCTGGAGTCTAAGGTGAAAAGTACCTTTGGTAACTTCTTCAAGTAAAACTCTAAGATGGTGATAGACTTCTGCTTGTTTTGATTTGACTGTGATGTGCTCTTGAACTCCTTTTCTCCAGGTCTTATCTATATGCCATGCACAGATTAATTTCTTCGTTTTCGATACAGTAAAAATACTCTTCCACGCGTTATAGAAGTTATCAGCATCATCGCTCATGAAAACTTTCGTTTGTATATCTCCACATACATTTCTTACTTTAAGCAAGAATTGCCTAAGTGCTGCTGCATCTTCACGATTTGAAATCATCCATCCCACAGGTACACCCTCTCCAAAATCATCTAAAACGAGAATCGTCACAAGACAAAAGTCGTAAACGTTCGTACTGTGGGTACTATCCATACAAATAGCTTCACTTCCAAATTTCATTAACATATCTCGTTGAAAAGTGGTCTGTATACCAATCGCAAAGTCACTTTTCGAAAAATCATTTAATTCATCAATTTGTTTGACATCTTGCTGCTTATAGAGAAGAACAGGAGATGGTATATCAGCTTTGCTTTTGGCATTTTCTACCCACATGTGAACACTACAGTGATCATTCTTATGATACTGAATGCCTTCAATGTTATATTGGTGTCTTATGT